GGAGAGCTGGCCCCACCCCTCACCACCTGCAAGGGAGAACTGACCCTGATGGCATGGGCATAGGGCTCTGCCCCCTTGCCTGACAGGGGTGGCTCCAGTGGCCCACACTGATCAGCACAGATACTACCCAGGCTCACAACCAGGCCTTGACTTGGCCCACCCTAACATCTACTCCATCTAAGACCTTCTGGAGCTCCTGAAGGGAGTGGTGCTGTGGAAGGATACCTGCAGGATCTCCATGACGTGGAAGGAGTTTCGGTGAGGATCCAGTGATGATGGTGTACCAGAAACCAGAGGTCTCAAAACAGATCAATTACTCATTGCAATGGAAATTTGCTAGTAGAGCTGATTGGACAAAAGGGTATGCTATATGACATACTGCTTCCAATGTCACCAGGATGAAGAAGTGTTAGATAGGGTGGAAACATGAAGGAGCAAAGAGGTTGTGTTTGTTTGTTTTGTTTTTGTTTCTACTTGTTTGTTTTCTTGCTCATTTTGTTTAGATTTTTGAAAGTTGTCTTTTGGGTGTGCTGCAGGACTGAGGAGAGGACATTGGGAGGACTGGGAGGTGATCAGAGTTAGGATGCATTATGTAAAATTTCCAAAGAGTCAATAAAGAAATTATGTTAAACTTAAAAAAAGAAAAGATAATTCTTTGGACAGCACTGTTACTTGGCAGTGCCTTCTGGTGATATATTGTTTATAACCTAATAAAGCTTGCCTGGAGACCAGAATGCAAAGCTAGCCACAGCTGGGCTAAAAGCTGGATGCACACCTTTAATTCCAGGACTAAGGAGACAAAGGCAGATGGATCTCTGTGAGTTCAAGGCCACCCTGGTGAAATGAGAATGAATCATTCTAAAAGAGAAACAGACCTCACAACTTTAATCCCAGCACTAGAGAGAATATAAGGAACTCAGTGCAGTCTCAGGAGCAGTGCAGTCTGGAGATGGAATCTGAGGTTCAGTGGATCACTCTTTTTGTCTGAGCACTGATAGAGGTGAGAACTCTCTAATGGCGGCTGTTTTGCTTCTCTGATCTTCAGCCTGAACCCCAATATCTGTCTCTGGGTTTTTGTTGTTCGTGTTACAGTGCCTTCTTCATCAACCTATGTTCCCTTCCCCAGTTAGTGCCCATGCTGGGCCTATGCTTCTTTCCTAGCCTGGGTATCCTTCTCCTACAACAGTGTCCAGTCCTTTGACTCTGGCCACAGTTAATGTGTTGGTTGCCTTAGAACCTGTCGCCTAGGAAGTGCCTGTTTCCTCTAAATCAGGTAGCCCCTTCCTCTTCAAAAGCCAGGAATTCCCTTTTCATCCTAGGCCAACTTACACCCTGTAATAACTAGGCAGCTTTCAGCCTGCCGTTTACCTACCCACAGCCCTTAGCCTGCTTGTGCTCACTCTTTCCTCACATCCTCAGCCCTTATTTAGTGAATTTGTCTCCTTTATGCTTTCTTCCACAGCCAAGCTCCTTTCCTAAGCCCATTCTCAACCTAGTCCCCCTTTCTGCTAGGCATATACCTTCTTATACACTTCTTCAATTACCAGTTCCCATTCCTCAGCCCTTGTGGGGCAACCCAACATTTTTTCCCATTTTTTAAAAATTTAAATTAGATACAAGCTTGCTTGACATATCAGTCCCAGATCTCTCACCCTTCCTTCCTTCCCCGACCACCCAGTCCCCCAACCCCCACTCCATTCTCCCTGTGCTCCCCAGGGAGGGTGAGGCCCTCCATGGGGAATCTTCAAAGTCTGTCATATTATCCGGGGCAGGCCCTAGGCCCTCCCCCATATGTCCAGGCTGAGATAGCATCCTCCCTTATGTAATGGGCTCCCAAAGTCCCAAAGGGCTAAATACTGGTCTACTATCCAAGTCCCCATAGATTGTCGAAGCCTCCTCACTGATACCCACGTTCAGGGGGTCTGGATCAGTCCCATGCTGACCTCTCAGTCACCAGTCTGGGATCCAATGACTCCCCCTTGTTTAGGTCAGCTGCCTCTGTGGGCTTCACAAGGGGCAACCCAACTTAAGCCTGTAGAACATTTTCTTAGTGATTCATGGGGAAAGGCCCACCCCATTGTGAGTGGTGCCATCCCTGGGTTGGTGGTCCTGGGTTCTATAAAATAGCAGGCTGACTGAACTCTTGGGGGAAGGCCTACGCCCTGCCCTGGATGAAATGACAGACTCTGGAGATCCACCATGGAGGGCCTCACCCTCCCTGGGGATCAGAGTGGAGATTGGGTGGGGAACTGGGGGACCTGGTGGGGTGGGCAGGGGAGGAGGAGAGGGAGAGGGAGCTGGGATTGACATGTGAAGCAAGCTTGTCTCTAACTTAAATTTCAAAAAGGAAGAAAAAAATAGGAATCAAAGAAAAGCACAAAAACAAAAACAGAAAAAAAGAAAGCAGGCTGAACAAGCCATAGGGAGCAAGCCAGTAAGCAGTACCCCTCCATGGCCTCTGCATCAGCTCCTGCCTCCAGGTTCCTGTCCTGCTTGACTTCCAGTCTTGGCTTCTCTCAAACCCTTTCCTTCCAAGTTGTTTTGGTCATGGTGTTTCATCACAGCAATAGTAATCCTAACTAAGACAGCATCCATTCCAGTCTCCAAGTAAGTTTCCTGATCCTATTTGAGTTCCCTTTTCTACCTTGTGTCTTCTTGATTAGCTTGACCCATTTCTCCAAGACCTCCATTCCTATTCTGTGTTCTCCTTCTCTGTTAGGTCCTCGTCCTCCTCATCTATGTATTCTTCCTCATCCAGGGTCTCTGTGTAGATCCCAACTGTCTGTACCACTAGACATGCCTTTACCTTCTAGGATCCTTTCTGCAGGCTTTTTCATCTTTAATGGTCAGGGTCACCTTCCTTGTCCTTGGGCTCCTAATTCAACTAGGCATTGTTGTCCAGCCCTTGACTAAAGCAGTTCTCTATCCCCACCTTATGATCCCTTTTTCTAGCTAAGGCCTCATCTGCCTCCCATGCCTAGAGCTAAGTCCCTCTGCTTCCCTACCCAGCTGGGTCCCTTCCCTCATCTATCACTTCTTCCCTGTTGCTTCCTCCTTGCTCTACGACTTCTGTACCCTGGCTCCTCTGCCCACTTGAGCCTGCATCCTTGTATATAACCAGACTAATACAGGCTCTTTTCTCCCCCCATGACCTTTCACAGCATAGCGACTTCTCAGTCTGTGTCCCTTGCCAAAGTAGGCCTCCTTCCTAACCCAGGCCCAATTCTCCAACAGGAACCCGATACTTCTATCCCCTCTTGGGCTATCTTCCTCTCCCCAACACCGTTTTCCCTGTATCAGCCTGCACCAACCTTTGAAGCCTTGTGGTGCCTTTACCTGTCAGGCTTCTTTATCTAGTCCTTCTCTTCCAAGCTGATTGGTTCCCCAGACAATGCCTCTTTCCCCAGGAAGGCCTCATCTCATTCTAGAACTCCCTCCTCAGAAAGTGTCTCTGGCAGGTGCCCCTTGCCTAACCAGGTTGCCTGTCCTGATCACTTCCCCATTCAAGAGCCATGGACTCATTCATCATCTGCTGCACCCATCCAACCTGGCCTCCTGCTTCAGTGAGTTGCTCAGTTACTAGCCCATTCCTCTCTCCATACCTGGGGATTCCTTCACTGTGAAGCCCAGGCTCCTGCCTCATTATCCAAATAATCCCACCGTTTCCAGGACCCCTTCCCCAGAATGCAGTTTAGTTTCCAGCCAGTTTCCCTTCCTAAACCTGGACCCCTTCCCGTCTCTTTCCTTTCTTTCCCTATATAACTCACGCCAGCTGACTCACCTCTCCTAACAAAAACCCTTCACCAGCCAGCGCCTGTGTCTCTGACATTTAGCCAGGCCTCCTTCCTTATCACAGTGTGCTGCGTGTAGTCAGTCAGAGCCACTGTCCATCAATATTTCCTGCCTTAGCCGAACAGACCCAGAAAGCACCTTTTTCATTTCTATAGCCCTTCAACAGCCTTCACTCACATCCTTAGTCAGGGCCGTTACCTAGACCCCATCCGTGTCTTCTCCCCTAGCCAATCTTCTTTTATTATTTTTATAAATCGTATAATTCTAAATTTAAATTAGGAACACTCTTATTTTATATATCAGTCCCAGTTGCCTCTCTCTCCCATCCTCCCATGCCCCCTGACAACCCCCATCCCATCCCAGACTTCTTTAAAACAAAGCACACACACAACAACACACACACAGACACACAGAAATCACACACATACAAAACCACACACACACACACACACACACACACACACACACACACTTACTTTGTGGCCTGTTTCTCATCTTACCCACTTACTCAGCTTGTTGACACCTCTAGCTTCAGCATATAAAGGCTTTCCCTAGGCTGTCTCTGTCCTCAGCCTTCACCCTCTGTCCCAGCCGGGCCTCCTTCTGTAGATAACATCTCTTTCCAAGCATATTTTTCCTTCCCCAGCCTATGCCTCCCCCTGAAGCTTGCCCCCTTCTTCCCTAACTCACAATCCCTTCCCCAGTGTTCCTGTCCCTAAGAGGTTTATTTTCTCACAATGTACCCCAATACTGTGTTTTTTTCAGAGATGGGCTAGCTGAAACCCTTTGTTTCCATAGTGAAAACTGTCAGAATTTCCATATTTGTATTTTGGAAGCGTCCTTAAGTAGACTATAGCAGTATTTCTTCCTCTCCTGAAATATAGCCTGGCCTGACCTCGAGGTCTTGGAAGTCAGGACTCTTTATCAGACACAGCCAAGAATATCAAAGGAAGCCCTTCCATATGTTTCACAGAGTGAAACATCAACACAGGGCATCTTTAGTGTGAATTCCTCCCAAAATTCCAGCTTGGGAAACATTTCACTCCAGGCCACCACCAAGACTGCAGGTGTATTACCCAAAGGCTCATGTGTCCCCACCCCAACCTGCTCCTGTTCTTCAGGAACTCTTCACTGAAGGCCCTCTGGCCAAACTTCACATGGATAAGTCAGCTACACAAGAAATGCAAAGCAGATATTTCAAAAGCTGCTTTTATTTTGAACACATTGCAAGTTGTTTTTAAAAGTTTTTAAACTCCCATATATTGTTTGAGAACATGTGGAAGGGACAAAGGCTTTTACAAATGGTTTTAAATAACTTCACTGAAATACAGAACCTGATAATTAACCTTCAAAACGTCTGCCAGTCACTCTGTTCTTGCTCCTCTTGACTCTTCTTCAACAGAAGCACAGCTGTACTGGTCACTGTCTTCCTTTACACAAAACTGCACCAACTATTTTAGAAACTCTCAAAATTACTTTGAAAACATTTTTTGTCTCTAAAAAATTAAGTAAAGTCACTAAGTTCAGATCTCTCACATCTTTGGGGTAAGCCTTACTGGCTCATTTAAACTGAATTTCTCTAACAGTTACATTTAGCTTTTAAATTTGAAAATGCATTTTTTACAGCTTAGAAAATATTGAGAAGCTAAAATCCATTTTCAACCTCACAAGTTTGAATGAAAAGCAAAACAGTAAATTACTACTGGAAGACTTGTTTATAATCCAGGCATTCTAACATTAGTTAAAAGCAATGCAAACAGACCTTTTCCCGGGAAAACACAATGAAAAACACATATAGATCACTTCTGTCATACAAACTCCACTTTTATCAAGTGGGTTGATAGATACTGAGGAAAAATCCAACAAACTGAACCCTTTTACTAAACTTATTTAAACCCAGGTAAACAATGAGTAAATCCAAAATTTCAATTTTTAGCCTAAAGTTGATTGATGCCCAACCACAACAAAGGTACTTAAGGGCCAAACGAAGTTATGCTTGATGAAACATAAGCCTCTTGGGTGTTCCAAGGAGGTATTCTTTGTGATTATGCCCCTCACCCCAAAGAAGACACAAATAACAGTGGGAAAGCAAACAAAACAAACAAACAAAACAAACAAACAAAACAAACAAACAAAACAAACAAACGGAGGCAGAACTTGGAAGGGGTAGATTTCAAGATTTAAGTAAATCTTGAAAGAAATATAAACCAACCAAAGAAAAAGCAATTGCTCCTACTAAGAAACGCCATAGCTGTTTTGGTTCTCCCAGGATCTGTGGTGTCAAGCGTGGAAGAAACATGGCGCCTAGGGCAGAGGTCTGAAGCTGCTGGAAACTTCTAGAACAAGCGCGGTGCAGCGCCTCCAATGGCGCCAGGGGTCTCGATGGGCTTCACTGAATTGTAGTGCTCTCCGAAGTCGCAGGCGTAGTGCAGATAGACCAGTGTGAGCGGCTTCCGGTTGTACTCCTCCCCAATAACAATGATGGGTGAGTTGGCCTGTACTACCTCGATGGGGGTCTTCAGGACATGCGACATGGCTCTCAGTTCTAGCTGGCCGCCCCACGATGCCTTGTGCACGATGTCATCACAGTACCTCAGGAAATCTTCACGGGTGTAGAAGTTGCCGGCCTCGGGTTCAGTGAAGAAAGGTAAGAAGTCATCAATGTGTTTCCGCATATAATAGGCTGTGCGGTAACGCAGGTTCTCCACCGTCACCGAGAACACCAGCTGGTCCTGGATGGCACGGTACATGCAGTGGCCATCGGCAGGGATGGTCTTCATCTCCAGATTTTTGGCTCCCAGAATGGCAGCCACCTTCTCTTCCTCCTCACGGCGGTAGGTGGCCTGCTGTTCAGCCTGGGTTGTAGGCATCCTTTCCTGGCGTTGTCGCTCCACATTAGCTCTTCGCTGGCGCCTTTTCTGGGCCCTTGATAAGCGTGGAGGAAGATTCTCAAGGTTCATCTTTGTTAGGTCGGCTGTAATTGACTCCACGTCAGTGTCAGGATCTTTTTTAAATTTCTCCAGCTCTTGCTGGTGTCTCTGTTCCATCTCGACCTCGAGGCGGGCAGCGTCAGCAAGCAACTGCTTTCTTCTGTTCTTGTCATTCTTTGGGACAGAACTTTTCAGGGCCTGAATGTGAGCTTGCAGCTCCCTTTTTTCACGATAGTGCCTGCGTATCACCCGCTGGAATTCGTTCTCGGTGTCCTCCATCACCTCAGTGGAAAATGAGAATTGAAGTTTGGGAGGAAACTGGAACAGTTCAAGTCAACAGACCGCAGAACCTCTGCCTGAGGTAGCTGTGGCACTCTGCTTGCCTCAGAATCTCTTTGGCCCCTCCTACTCACAGTCCTCTTCTGCTATTGGCTACTGCCTCACGGCCACGCCTCCAGACATGCCTGGCTTTGTGACTGGCCTTTAAGAACCCCTAAATATGCTCTCATTAGACCCCGTAGCACCTCATGCCGCCGGTTTTTAACGGACTTCAAAAGTCACTCCTAATAGTCTGCCTTTCTACATTGTGTGCCATAATTGGGCTTGTAGAGTTTTTCAGTCACTCTTACTGCCTACTTCTTTTCCAAGTTTGTACAGAACACAGGCACAGGCCATGCTTGATAACCACATGATAAATATTATCAGCTGAATATGTTCTGACCCTGAACTTGGTTTTTCTCTTTGTGTCCAGGAGGCTTTGTGGCTTTCTCTATTTTTTTCAGGTCTCTTAACCAGTGAACTCTTAATCTTTGTGTATCAGAACAAAGACATTCCCTTACATTCCTGGGAACACAGAGTTCTTTTAATTCATGTTTCAAAACTGATGGATCCCACCTCAGTGTAAGACAGCAACAACCACCCTCTTCAGAAGCACACTACAAATAAATGGATCTCTTGGTTTTTGCTAACAGAAATCACCCAAACGGCCCTTCTTCTGGGCCCCCATCTCCCTAAATGGGTTCTCTAGAATATTCGGGAACCATCACAAGCTAGTGTTCATTAGGTCACTTCTTCCTGACTCTTCCAGTTTGTTTGTGAAGATTGTTGCAAAATTCTGGGGAGAAAAAAAAACTCTTTCAAATATGCTTTTATTATGCGATAGTCTGTGTCTTTGTCAAACTGGTCTTTAGATTGCCCACTTGAGATCAGATTTGTTAAAAGAAGCCCGTAACCCTAGTACTGTTGAGGTAGAGGCAGGAGAATGAAAACTTTCAAGGTCATCCTGGGAGATATAGTAAGTTCCAGGCCAGCTTGTGGTATGTTGAGACTCTGTCTCAGAAAAACCCAAACCAAACATACAGGACAAACACTAACACAGAAGCCTATTCTCCACCCCATATACAGGCTTTTGTGTGAACCTAAGTCCTCATTTCTCTGGACAAAATGCCCAGAACAAAATTGCTGTGCCATTTTCTAAGTGTATATTATTTTAAAAAAACTGTTTTCCAGAAAGGCTGTAGCAGGTCCATTTCTACTAGAAGTTTCTTTGCATTCCTACCAGCATTTTGGTGTTGTCACTTTAAAAAAGCTTACACTGATGTGTCATGATAATTTTATTATGGCTTTAATATCCTCATGTCTAATGATTTTTTAGTACTGTAGATGGAACCCCAGAGCCTTGCACATATGCTAGGAAAGGGCTGTACCTTGATGATAATCTTTTAATTTTTTTATTTGTTGTTGTTGATGTGCATGTGTGCCTGCATGAGTCTCTCTCTCTCTCTCTCTCTCTCTCTCTCTCTCTCTCTCTCTCTCTCTCTCTCTCTGTGTGTGTGTGTGTGTGTGTGTGTGATGTATGTGCATTGGCCTGCATAGAATGTGTAGAAGACACAGAACAATTTTGAGGAGCTGTTTTTCCCTTCTGCTGTGGGTTCTAGGGATTGGATTCAGGTCATGTCAGGCTTACAAGGCAAGCAGTTTTATCCACTGAGAAATTTTGCCTGATGATTTATCTTGTATGTCCTCATTTTTCATCTATAAAATATATTTCTCAATAAAATGCCCATATAATTTGCGTATTTTCTAAATGGGTTGCTTTTGCTGTTAGTTGTGAGAGTTTTTATATTCTAAATGCCAGGTCTTTGTCAGATGTGTGGTTTGCAAATATTTTCTCCCAGTCTATAGCTTGTCTGTTCATTTTCTTAGCAGGGCCTTTCTCAAAGCAAAAACATTTCATTTTAAGACTAGTTTTGTATCTTAGTGATAGCATGTGTGAGGACATGTGTCGCATTGCTAGTGCCACAAAAGGATTTTCGCTATAACTAATTTTTCAAGATGGGGGCCTCAAACTCATAACCTTCTGCCTTATGCTCTCAAGTGCTCTCAAGTCATTATACTTGCAACATTTTTTATTTTGGATTAAGTATAACTACCAGTTTTCCTTAAATGATATTATTTTTAGTGTGAAGTCTAAAGAACTCCTTGTCTAGCCTGGTGGTGGCTGCAGCGCACGCTTTTAATCCCAGCACTCAGGAGGCAGAAGCAGGCGGATCTCTGTGACTTCAAGGCCAGCCTAGTCTACAGAGTGAGTTCCAGCACAGCCAGAGCTGTTAAACTGAGAAATGCTGTCTTGAAACACTCCCCCCAAAGGAAAAAGAACTCTTTGTCTAGTCTTAAATCCAATGGTTCCACTGCTTTTTAAACTATGAAGAAAAGATTTAAAAATTACATGTATTTAGTGTGTGTGTGTACTTGTGCACATGTCATTGTGTACACATAGTAGTCAGAAGATAACTTGTGGGAGTCAATTCTCTCCTTCTACTGTCTTCTTCTACCATGTAGGTCCAGGTTATCAGAGTTGCTACAGGCTACCACTGAGACATTTTGACAATCCCCTCAGTTTGTCTGTCTGTCTGTCTGTCTGTCTGTCTGTCTATCTATCTTCTCTCACATATTACATTCTGACCACAGTTTCCTCTTCCTCCACTCCTCCCATCACTTTGCCTCTTTCCCATATCTACTGCTCCTCCTATTCTCTTCAGAAAAGGGCAGGTCTCCCAGGCATATCAACCAAATATGGCATGTCAGGTTACAATAAGCCTAGGTACCTCCCTTCATATTAAGGCTGGACAAGGCAACCCAATAGAAGGAAAAGGGTCCCAAGAGCAGCCTCCCATTCCACTCCCACTGTTAGGAGTCCCACAAGAACACCAAGACCCCACACACAACATTTTTATTTTAATTTTTTGGTTTTATGAGACAGGATTTCTCTGTGTAGCTTTGGAGCGTAGACCAAGCTGGCCTTGAACTCATAGAATCCACCTGCCTCTGCCCTGCTGAGATTAAAGGCATATACCACCACTTCTTGGCATTTTTAAATTTTTATTTATTTTTTGCATAATTGATATTGTATGTAATCCCCACTTGTTTATTTTTGTCTTCATTATTCCCCCCCCGCCCCGTGTGTGTGTGTGTGTGTGTGTGTGTGTGTGTGTGTGTGTGATAACCAAGAAATTATCACAAAGGACACTGTCATGAAGCTTTTTATTTTTTTTAGTTTTACAGTTTAAGGTCTTATATTAAATCTTTACCATGACTTGAGTTGCTATTTGTTTGGGGAATAAGATGATGGATAAATTACTTTGTTTTACATGCAGGTATGAGTTCCGCCAGAATTTGCTTAGTATCGTGTCTTCCCCATATGTACTTTTGGTTCCCTTGTGGAGCCTCAATTGGCTCTATGTGATGAGGTTTATTCCTGACCTTTACACCAAAAACTTATTCTATAGAATGTGAAAAATATTTGTAAAGTATATGTGTGTTGAAGAATTAGTATATGGGTGAAGGCTACAGGTTTATCTGAGTGATAAGGTACCTTGTTTAAAATTCATGAGGCCTTGGATTTGGTCCTCAACATTATGCACAAATACATGCCTGTGTATATGTGTTGTGTGTTTGATATATAATTTTTCCATAACATATTGGCAACAAAAATCCTGACTTTAGTATGCAAAGTGACCAAAAAGGCATTTTCCCAAAGAAAGCATTCAAATAACAAAAGACCCAGTAAAGTGTTCAATATTACTAATTGTGTAAGAAACACAAATTAAAATCCCAATGTAATACCATAGCACACTTACTAAGATGTCTGTTATCAGTAAGAGATGCATGTGCTCTAACAGTATGGCTGAGCTACTTCAGCCATTTTTTCCCTTGAAGAAACTCCATCTGTTCCCTGTCCTGTCTGTACCAATTTGCATTCTTACCAATGATTTATATGAGCTCTGTTTTCTTCATATCCTCCACATTTACTATTGTTTCTCTTGTTGATATGCTTGTGGTGAGGGATGGGGCCATCTTTCCTGAGTGTGTGTGGGGGTGTGCTCCCCTCATGAGGGGCAGAGCCAGCACTCTTGCTACAGTATCCAGCAAGGGGCAGGGTCAGCTATCCCAGTGAAGGACGGGGCTGGTTCAGCACAGCATGATTCTAATGCCCCTATGTGCTAACAGGGGCCATGGATATCATCACAGACCTCAACAGCAGCAGGACCATGGACTCTGATGTGGCCTTTGGCAGCAGCTCGGGTTCTGACATCACCAATGCCCCAGTGGCAGCCCAGGCCACCCAGATCACTATGGCACTGGGGGTGCCACCATGTTCTCAGGTGACTGACCAGACCCTGGGTACCTGCACAGTCCTTGGTGGTAACAGGAGCCACAGAGACCACCTCAGACCCTGGCTGCTGCAGGGCCGTGGACACAGACATGGCCCTAGGCAGAGGCCTGGTCTTATATGTCTTTGTAGCCCCAGGTGGTGTCACCAGCCCCCTCCCCCCAGATAAGTATGACTCCAGCAGCAGCATGGTCCTTTGACACTGACATGGTCTCAGGTGTCTGACCAGACTCTGACCATCTGCATGGCCCTTGGTGTTAACAGGAGCCATGGATATAAACTCCTATACTGGCAATTGTAGAGCCACAAACCTAGACATGGCCTAAGACAGCAGCTCTGGCCAGACACCATGGCCCTGGGTGACAGCATAGACCTCTAAGATAAGCATGTCCCTGGTGTCAGTATAGCCCTCAGACAACAACATGGTCACAGGTTGTGGCCCAGACCCTGGTCATCCAGGTGGCCCTGGTGGCAACATGGGTCAGGGACATTGACATAGACCTGGCCGAGACAAACCACGGACCCAGACATGGTCCTCGGTAGCAGCCTCGGCCATGATGTCACCATGATCCCAGGTGGCTGCACATGCCACTCTGATTGGCATGGCTCTCGTGGCAGTGTGGCCCTTGGATACCAACATGGCCTCAGGTGGTAGCAGTTGAGCATATTTCTGTGAATCTGTTTCTGGGA